GGAACAAATAAGTAGAGAGATGCACTTGAAAAGAGAGTTACATGTTGACTAATTGAACATAATTAAAAAAAAAGAAACACAAACAAGTATCAAAACATTGAGATTTAGTCTTTTTCTGTAATTTTACATTATAAAAGCAATGCATGACTAAATAAATATACTTCTGACCATGAAAAAAAAAGGAGAGCTACATGAGTAGCTAAGTGATAAAGTATAGTAAAATGTCAATGGTACAATCTAGGTGGTTGGCATACAGGTGTTCACTGTAAAATTCAGGTATTTTGTATGTTTGAAAATTTTCGTAAGTCACAGTAAACAAAACCTACTTATTTAAGCCACTGTTCATTAGGTTTTCAATTATTTGCTATCAACATATTCCTTACTTACTCTGATACCAAAACAAGGGTTTTCTACAAAGTGGATGAGACTGGCCCTAACACTTATTCATTCATCTAACAAACATTTACTAGGTATCTACCATGTGCTGGACCTTGTGCTCTCAATGCAGGTATGATCTTGTGAGCAAAAAACTCCCTGCTGTTGTGAATTTTATAATCTAGCAGAGAAGATGACAAACACATACTATCACACAAACACATGTGATCACAATTACGAAGGAACCATACTGGGGTCCTAAGGCCATGACAAGGGGACCTGACCGATGGTGGGATGGGGTAATCAGGTTAAGATGTCCTGGAGGAAATGTGTGTGACAGGTAGGGGTAACGACGTGAAGAGCAGTAGCAGCACAAACAAATTAGCTGAGGTCAAAGGACGTGAAAGGAGGCTACTGTGGCCAAAGCACCAACAGAAAGAGGAAGAGAGAGTCCAACATAATGACAGGTCCTGGAAGAGTCCACTTTCCATTGGCTTTTGATGCTATCTCTAACTTCACCCAAGATCTTTCATGCATACTGTTAAAGTGGCTGTAGGTAGGCAAGAAACAACAAATGTTGGAGAGGTTGTGGAGAAAGGGGAACCCTCTTACACTGTTCGTGGGAATGCAAGTTGGTACAGCCACTTTGGAAAACAGTGTGGAGGTTCCTCAAAAAATTAAAAATAGAGCTACCCTGTGACCCAACAATTGCACTCCTGGGTATTTACCCCAAAGACACAGATGTAGTGAAAAGAAGGGCCACATGCACCCCAATGTTCATAGCAGCAATGTCTGCAATAGCAAAACTGTGGAAAGAGCCGAGATGCCCTTCAACAGGTGAATGGATAAAGAAGATGTGGTCCATATATACAATGGAATATTACTCAGCCATCAGAAAGAATGAATACCCACCATTGGCATCAACATGGATGGGACTGGAAGACATTATGCTAAGTGAAATAAGTCAAGCAGAGAAAGTCAATTATCATATGGTTTCACTTATTTGTGGAACCTAAGGAATAGCATGGAGGACATTAGGAGAAGAAAGGGAAATATGAAGGGGGGGAAATCAGAGGGGGAGATGAACCATGAGAGACTACGGACTCTGAGAAACAAACTGAGGGTTCTAGAGGGGAGGGGGTGGGGGGATGGGTTAGCCCGGTGATGGGTATTAAGGAGGGCATGTACTGCATGGAGCACTGGGTGTTATACGCAAACAATGAATCATGGAACATACATCAAAAACTAATGATGTACTGTATGGTGCTAACATAATTAAAAAAAAATTGCCCTGTCTGAAAATATTGAATTTGCTAACTAGTTGGTTTATTCAGAGGTCCCTGAATATTTCAGTGTACAAATCAATTGTACTTTTAATACCATAAGCTATGAAAAACAAACAAACAAACAAACAAAGTGGCTGTAGGTGCTCTAGTCTCACTGTAAGCAATTAGACCAAGGCAGGAGCTTCTTTAATAACAGCTATTATGTACATAATAAACCAAAATTCAAAGCCACGTTTTTTTGTCTTTTGTTTGTTTTTAAGTAAACTCTACCCCCAACATGGGGCTCTAACTCATTACCCCAAGATCAAGAGTTGCATGCTTTACTGACTGAGCCACCCAGGCGCCCCTCAAAGCCACTTCTTACTCCCTTTTGTAATCAGGACCCAAGCTACCTCAGGGGCATGGTGGGAAGATGAGATGTAGCAACCTCTACCTCCACTCCTTTCTTTCTTTTGATACTCAACCAAGGAGCTTTTTAAAGCTTTGTTTTCTTTTCTGGGAAAGGAGAATAAGAGTACTAGGATGCTTGGCAGAACTTGGTGTGTATAAAATTTATCATTTTTCTTGAAAATCCAATATAGCTCCTAAATACTTACAAACTGAAAGCTACAGTTCCTACTTTTCCAAGGTAATGGAAAGATGATCATAATGATGAAAATGTCATCATTCCATGTTGAGTCTGTTGACATTTATATTCCATATTTTCAAAAAGGAATGATTTAAAAAAAAGATACAAATAACTGCCATGGGGCGCCTGGCTGGCTCAGTCCATGGAAGTGTACAACTCTTGATCTCGGGGTTGTGAGTTCAAACCCCACACTGAGTGTAGAAATTACTTAAAAATAAGATCTTAAAAAAAAAAAAGCCAAAGTAAAGACAAAGAAAATGAGAAGCCTCATCTTTGTCCTGAAAGAGAGCTTTTCTTTTGTTCCTATGGGGCCAATAATGCCCTGGGTCAGGGAGCACTTACTGCAGAAAAGCCACAGGCTCACAGTGACTGGAGAAGTCAGCCCTCTTTTACAGCTGCAAACCTCTAGACAGTCCAAGCCAGGCCCCAGCCTTCACTGAGCACTGAACTCAGCTCAACTGGCCTGCCCTGGACTTAGAGGGGCCTCCAGAGGTATCCCACACACCTTACTTTGCCTTGTTTGCTTCTACTTTTCATGGTATTAAATCATATCTACTGGGCATCTACTCTGTGCCTGTGCTTTATATTAACTGTCCCTCTTCCTCCCCAAACCCTGCAAGGTAGTATCATGAACTTCATTTCATAGTTAAGTAAAGTAAGACTCAGGGACAGTATCTATCAGTCAGGAATCTTTCTTTTGCCAAAATGGAAAGCCTAGCTCTCCAAAATGGCTTAAGCAAAAAGGGTATTTACTATCTCACATAACCAAAGTATTTTGGTTTAATAGTAGTACAGGCACAACTCAATCCATGTGCTTGCTCACAAGAACTACAGGGTCCATTTCTGCCTCTCAAATCTACACCCCTTGTTGGAGGTGGGTGATAGGATGATCACTCATCACCGATGACTGATAGGATAACTCAACATCCTATAACTGCTCCTTTCCATCTCATCACATTTCACGGGTTCTTTTTTGGAAGAAACCACTCATTTGGGCTGAACAGGGATATCTGCTGTCTTAGACCAAAGTCCAGCATCCAGCTCTGGAAGTCTGACAAGGGGTCTGAGAATTGAGGGAAGGATGGATGGCCATAAAGCAACGACTACCCAGACTAAGTAACTATACAATACCACTTTCTTTCACATTGGTCCTCTGTGACCATTTGACTTCACCCTTGTGCTTGCTGCCTTTCATATAAAGTCCTTCCCACACTTCTGGTTTTAGCCTTGTTACCCTATCAGTCTGAGCTAAATCTCAGGCTTCATTCTTGAGAGTAAGCAGGAGTCCACAAAAACACCGAATAGATTCCTTGACAACCCAAGGATGGAGCAGTAAACTGAGGTGACTCCAGACCAGGGCACCCAGCCAGGGGAGTAAATGAGAACTGAAAGACACTCTACTTACAAATCTTGTGTCATAGTACTGGGCTGCTTCTACTCAAAGGAAGGGACATCTTTTTTTTTTTTTTTTTAATTTGCAGTAATGCATCCCATGGTCTTTAAATCTTTGGCTCATAGTCAAATTCTACTTTAGGGGATTTCTATTCCATCTTTCCCTCCACTCCTCGCCTTCCCTCCTTCCCTCTGTCTGTCTCTCTCCAGGTAAGATCCATTTCAGATGTCCTTCTCTCACCTCTTAGCTTTTAGGATTCCTTAACTCTCCTTCACAGATGAAACACAGCAGATCACCAGGAGGGAGAGAAGCAGGAAGAGGACCATCCCAGTATCTTTACCCCAACTTTATCCCTGGATGCCAGAAGGAGTAACTGCAATCTAGCTACACAATCATAAAGAGGCCATTAATTATGATCTGATAGGCCACTTACATTTTTCTTAAAGAATCAGAGTGGAAAACACACGAAAGAAGGGACTGGCTTTGTGTGACAGAATAAGTATTATCACTCAAAAACACCACTGTGCCATGCATGTCTACCATGTGCATGCCTTTTGTGTTAGAAACATGCTTTCATTTCTTTATTCAAAAAATATTTTCTGAGAGCTTTTGACGAGGTTGCTCATCTCCCTAAAACCCTCTTTACCCGGATTTTTGCATGGCTGAGTCCTAAGCATCTTTCGCACATACCTATACTCTGGGTTGTTCCACATTCCTCCAATGAAGAAGCCCAAAACTCAGGGGCAGCTTGTAGTTTTCCAGTACATTACGTATCTTCCAGTCTTCATGTTCTGCCAGGATCTGGGAAGGTACTAGGTTGAGCTATATGAAACTGCCTTTATATAAAAATGAAAATGTTGTATTTTTCAGGAAAAGTTTTATTCAACCAAAATATGCAGTTAGCATTAACTGCTTTCCCCCAATGATAAATTTCTCCAAATACTATATATTTATAAAATTCAGCATTGTTAAAATTTATTCAAATCCTTCAATTACTGTTCTCTATCAGAGAATGTTCTGTTTCTTAAAGTTCCAAATGATGACAGAGTGGTAATCTGTTGAAAAAAGGTCAGATGAGTGTGATGGATATGGCAAAAGTTCTTGGCCCAATGCAGTCATTCCCTATGGTGGTCTGGGGTTTCAGTGACCAAATGTCATGGAAAAGCATATGTCCATCCATGTCTGCTAACCAATGCAGAGTGCTTTTAGATCCATTTTTGATACATAATTTCAGCTTCTTGACAATAAGATGCTACTGTTAGTTTTGCCTGAGTTAAAAGTAATGAAATACTCTCTTTGCAGACCACCATACAGTTACCAGAACCTTCTTTTTGGTTGCAATGATGGTTTTAACACATTTGGGAACTTCTTCAACATCCAACCATTGTCCAGACCACTTTCATTTTTTGTCAAAGCTTATGATATTCTCCAAAATAGGTCTCTGCTCTTTCAAATCTTCAGGTATATAAGCACATCTCTAAACATCTCAGTTTATGATTATCCATCAGTTGGTGTTACCTACCCACTTGTCCAACTTTTTCCACCTTTCCTATTGCAGCCAGGTGTCGAGAAATTGTTGTAGCAGAAACCCCTAAGTCTGCTGCAAGGCCTCGAATTGCTGTTTTGGGGTTAGCTTCCACCATGGCTCTCAACTGATCTTCATTTAAAACAGATTTGGGTCTCCCTCGAGGCTCGTTTTTCAGACTCAGATCCCCAGAACGAAACTTTTCAAACCACCACCGGATAGTCCTTTCACTAACAGAGCCTTTTCCAAAGACAGAATTGATGTTTCTACTTGCTGTGGCTGCACTATGTCCTAGTTTAAATTCATATACAAATAGTATTCTCAAAGCTTTCAAAGATACGGTACTGTTCACTTCTGTGGAAGAAATAAATAATAAAAACTCAGCCATCAAAGAAAACTGAAGACCATAGTATCATTATGAATACTAAACAACACAACTGAAAATAGACCTGATATCAACTTTATCAATCATGGTCAAGTTTCAGCTAGTCAAATATCAGCAATTTAAACTGGAGGATACATGTTTTTATCACTGTGTTCTGCTGCCATCAGTTTATATCAGGCAATGACTTTACAGCAGTAATACAATTTCCAGTGATTTTATAAGCATTACCGTAAAAGAAATACTTTTGAACTAAAATATGAGTTGTGCTTTTAAATCTACAAACTCAATGCCTGCCACACAATTTTTTCAGTACTATCAAATTAAGATCTCAGATCAATTTAATGCTTGGAAAAAAATGCTCCCATAATGGGTTGATAAATACCTGCTTCTGATGTTTTCTGACAGAAGTATTTGTAGGTCTTCCTCTTTCCTATTTCACATGATCTGAACGACTGCTACTTCACAAGTTCTTTATGTTTTCTAAATCCTTATTTACTATGGAATTTTTCTTCTTTTGCCTATTTTACTTTCTTGGGCTTCATAGTTAATTTGGGTATAAATGAATAAAAATAATATTTCAGGTATATGAAAGAACTGTCTTCCATTTTCCCCTGACAGTCACGTATTCTAAATGGCCCTAGGGTCCACTGCCCAGTGGACTTTTTAAAACAACATTACATACATGTGCCCTAAACCTACCAAAGGGTTAAAAAGGAGTGGGAGAAAGAGAGAGAGAGGGAGGGATTAATTCAGCAGAATTCAAATCTGGACAATGTTTGGGAGGAAGCTTGGGGTAGGAAGGGGGAAGTTTTTCTTTTCAGCAGCTAAATTTAATTCCAGCCCCTTATAAGTATATATTTCTCCAATAGTAACTTGTCTGCCTTTTTCCTCCCCTACACTTCCAAGATAGTAAAGTGGAAAGGGAAAAGGTTTCTATTCCTTTCTACCATCACTTGAGTTCTAAATTATTTCAAATAAGTTGATAATCTTCTATTACGAAAGCAGAAAAAAAATTCTGACCTTAACCATAATATACTGTTACCAAAAAACAAACAAAAACATATACTGCAACTGTAAGATAAATATTAGGAAAGTGAGTGGCTTTATTTTAGCCCCTAATACACTGAACACAGTTACCCTATTGTTTGTAAATGGAATAGGAATAGGGGAGAGGTTTCCCATCAATATAGTAGATTTAATTAATGCAAGAAGCCACCTCTTCCACTTCCAACATGCTAGTTGAGATATAACCGAAAAACAAAACTTGTTTTAATACAGAGCTAAATCCAAAAGCAAAAGAGAATTTCCCAACTGCAAAAAAGTGGGAAACACTCAAAAAAAAAAAAAACACAGTGGTGAAGGGACACGTGAATAGAATTCATATCTCAGAACTACATATAAATAATGGAACAATCTGAAACAGAGACATTTTAAGACAAAATAAGATATTTTAAAACATGCCTTTAATATTCAAAGAGAAAACAAAGAAATAGATTTCATTTGGCAAGAACAGGCCATTGTCAAAGAAAAAAACTCCCACATTATATTTAGTCGTCACATCTCAGATTCCTCCAATCTCTGACAATGCCTTGGTCTTCCCTATTTTTCATGTCCTTGACTCGTAAGAGTACCGATTGCTTTACCTTGTCAAATATATCTCATTTGGGTTTGGCTGATGTTTTCTGATGATTGGACTAAGGTTATACATTTTTGGCAAGAATACAAAGAAATGATGTATCCTTTCTCTATCATGGGTCTCAAGATGTGAATATGTTTTATTATTGTGATGTTCACCTTGATCACTGATTAAGATAAATTTTGGCAGGTTTCATCCCAGTAAAGTTACTATATTTCCCTTTGTGATTAATGAAGATCTTGGGGGACATACTTTGAATCTTTAAAAATTTTACTTCTCCTCAAATTTTCACTCACTAATTTTACAATCAATTGGTGGATGTTGTCTGCAACAATTATTACTGTGTTTAGCTAATGCTTATTTTCTACTTCCCTCAATCCATCCATCCTTCCACAGTTATTAACTGGAATTCTACTATAAGTGAGAACTGTTCATTTCCCCTTTTTATATCTCTATCAGTATGGACTCGTGGATATTTACTTTATTATTCTATGGATTATAATCCAATGATTTCATTATTTCTTTTGCTCAAATTGCTCCAGCTTTGGCCATTAGAACTCTTTTAGTTTGGCTCCCATGTTCTTTCAAACACTATCCCCCCATCTTTTTTTTAAGATTTTTTTTTTTAATTTATTTATTTGACAGAGCCACAGCGAGAGAGGGAACAGAAGCAGGGGGAGTGGGAAAGGGAGAAGCAGGCTTCCCACAGAGCAGGGAGCCCGATGTGGGGCTTGATCCCAGGACCCTGGGATCATGACCTGAGCCAAAGGCAGACGCTTAACGACTGAGCCACCCAGGGGCCACCCCCCATCTTTTTTTAAGCACTTTGTTACCTGGCACACATCAAGGTAGGTGTTCCAGGCACCTTTAGTATTTTCTGTCTCAGTCCTGGAATCAACCACTTCTCCAAGAAGTGGAGAATCGGAAATAAAAAACTGGATCCTAGGTTTGTTCATTACTGCTGGGGTATCATACCTTTAGGCACTCTCAGTAGACACAGCTAGGAAACACATGCAAAGTAACCTGATACATATACTGATATCTCAGACTCCAAAACCAACCCACCAGAGTTCATTTTAGCCTTCTCCTTTCTTTCTTTGTGAGAAATCCAGTTTTTGTTGCCCAAAACATATTTACCTATTTGTTCAATTTGAGTACATACATAAGGCAGTTTCAGAATTGTAAATCTATGCCCCAGTGACAAATATATTTACTGACTATATTACAGCATTAATGTGCAGTTCTTTTTATCTTTACCATAACAGTACAGTCAAGATGTTACTTTCCAAAACAACTTGGAATAAAGTTCTTTTCTTCCCCATCCCCTCTAATGTCATTCCTTCCTCATTCCTGATACCCAGTTCCAATATCCTCACTTTTTTGCACCCATTTCCCACCTACCCCATATAGGTTACCAATAATCACTTTAGTTTCCAGTTTATCCTTCCAGCATTGATTCTACAAAAATAAGCAGATACACGTGTACTGTCTTACATCGCTTTCTTACACAAGAGACCATATACTGTAGCTACTCCTGTGCTTTACTTTTGTCATTTAACAGTATATTATCTCAGAAACACTCCATATCAGTTGATACAGACCAGTCTTTTTTTTTTTTTTTTTTTTTACAGCTCCATTACTTCACTGAATGGATTTACCACATTTTAATCACTTTGCTATGTGTGGGCATTTAGACTGTTTCCAATATTTTGCAGTTACATTGCATTACATTGCTGTAGTGATGTATGTATTTTTATATTGTTGGAGGTGTATCTTAACAGTAGAGTCCCAGAAATGGTCTTGCTGGGTCAAAAAGTAAATAAATACATATGTAGTATTTTTAAGTATCGCCAAATTTCCCTTTGGAAGGGCTATAACAACTCACATTCTCACCAGCAATGTATGAAAGTGCCCATTTCTCCACAGCTTCACCAACAAAGTACACTGTCATATTTTTAAATTTTTGCCATTGATAGGTATTATTTTACTTTGCAAAATAATCTTGAAAAAGAATAAAGTTGAAGAACTCACACTTCCTAACTTTGAAACTTACTACAAAGCCACAATAATTAAAACAATATGGTATGGGCATAAGAACAAACATAAGACCAATGGAATAGAAAGCCCAGAAAACCCTCACACATATGGTCAACTGATTTTCGACAAGGGTGTCAAGAGCATTATGGGAAAGCATGGTTTCTCAACAAATGGTACTGAGAAAACCATGTATCTGCATGTAGTGTGAAGTTGGACCATAACCTATACCATATACAAAAATTAATTCAAAAATGGTTCAGAGGGGCGCCTGGGTGGCACAGTCGTTAAGCGTCTGCCTTCGGCTCAGGTCATGATCCCAGCGTCCTGGGATCGAGCCCCGCATCGGGCTCCCTGCTCAGCGGGAAGCCTGCTTCTCCTTCTTCTATTGCCCTTGCTTGTGTTCCCTCTCTCACTGTGTCTCTCTCTGTCAAATAAATCAATAAAATCTTAAAAAAAAAAAAATGGATCAGAGACCTAAATGTAAAAACTAAAACTACAAAAGTCTTAAAGAGAACATTGAGGAAAATCTTCACGGCATTGGGATTTGGCAACAATTTAATGAATATAACAAAAGTAAAAAAAAAAAAAAACGGTAAACTGCATTACATCAAAATTTAAAACTTCTGTGCAAAAGATACAATCAATAGTGAAAAGGCAACCTACAGAACGGAATATTTGCAAATCACATTATCTGATATGGGGTAAATATCCAGAACATAAAGAACTCCTACAACTCAACAAAAAAATACAAATAGCCTGATTTTAAAATGAGCAAAGGACTTATATAACTGTTTCTCCAGCAAAAATATACACACGGACAAGGATTTGAAAAGATGCTCAACATCATTAATCATTAGGGAAATGCAAATCAAAACCACAGTGAGATTATCAACTCACACCCATTAGGATAGCTACTAACGAGAGAAAACAAGTATTAGCAAAGATAAAGAGAAATTGGAACCCTTGGGCACAATTGGTGCAAGCCTCTATGGAAAACAATTATGTTGGTTTCTCAAAAAAATTAAAAATAGAATTACCATATGATCCAATAATTCTACTTCTGAGAATATATCCAAAAGATCTGAAAAGAGTCTCAAAGAGGTATTTATACACCCACATTCATAGCATCATTATTCACAAGAGGCCAAAAGGTAGAAACAACCCAAGTGTCCATCAACCAATAAATGCATAAACAAAACATAGTAATTACATACAACAGAATATTATTCAGCCTTGAAAAGAAATTCTGACACGTTACAACATACATGAACCGTGAAGACATGATGCTAAGTAAAA